CGGATTGAAACTGGGCCCCACCGCTAAACAAGAGGGCAGCGCTTCTCCCCGTCGACTGAGCTGAGACCGAATGGCCTTGAAGGGGGGGGGAGAGGATATGACGGAACAGGGGCGGGAACAGGGGCGACCTCATCCGACAATATCCCTTCGGAGGGCCGACCCCGGCGGGTATGGACCACGACGCCTCGCCCGCGCACTGAAGCAGGGAGAGAGATGTGGTGTCTACGTCGGCATGTGCATGCATGCATGGATCCGACATGGATTCCATCGGTGAGTCGGTCAACATCTTTCAGCTGGGAGGGAGCTCATCGGGGACGGTTGAACCCGAATCACCCCTGCAAGATCCACTTCACCCCCACCCACCGACAGAGATGTGCATCCGGTCGATCCGGACCTTCAGCCGGCATCAGCACAGACGTCTGGTTCGTTCGGTTGAAGCTGGTTGAGTCGCTGCATCAAAGCAAAGGTTCTCGTCTACGACACCATGTGCGTGCGTGCGTGTGCATGTGTATATATATAAATACATATATATGCCATATGCGCACAGGCAGGTGCGTGTGATGCGTTGTGTGTGGTGTGGGTGGGTAGGCATGCACATGTGGTGCACATGTGGTGCACAATCCGCATCTTGTCCTGATATTCAAAGCGGAGCAAGGAGAAGACGTCCCATCCCTCTCACCGGGTTCGGTTCAAGGCTCCCAGGTCCTGAACTGACCGCCAGCCCGCGCGCCCCGGGCGGAGTCGCGGGGAACTACCCCGCCGGCCGCCCCGGCACCATCTCACCTTGAGCCGACGAGGAAACCACCCCGGGTCCCCGCGCCGGTCCGGAACGTCCTTGGCTCACTCAGCAACGTCGAACCGGTCTCGGGGCCCAGCCGCCCGACCCTGACGTGGAAATCATCACCGCCCCGCCCGCGCCGGCCCCCCCCGGGAGGCCAAAAGTTTTGCTCAACACAGCACCACCTCGACGACTGAATCATTCCCGACCGGGCCTCGGTCCCCCCAGGAGAGTCACGTGAACGCTCGACCTTCGAGCGAAAACCATCTTCTCTGCCGGCCGGGCCAACATCTCTTTCAGTTGAAATCTGGTCAAAGATCTCTCAAGAACTCTCTAGAACTCCAAGCCGTCCCTTATCGAT